GTATGGATGGACCTGGAGAATATTATGCTAAGTGAAATAAGCCAGGCAGCGAAAGACAAATATCACATGATCTCGCTTATACATGGAATCTAAAGAACTTAATAAACTGATGAACAGAAATGATTCAATGACATGGAAGCATAGATGAAACTGAAGAATGTCAGAGGGATGGAAGAGGGCAGGTGGGTGGAGGGGGAGAGAGTAATCAAAGAGTTTATGTGCATATATACACAACCCAAGGACATAGACAATGGTGGGGAGAAGGACTGGGGGCGGGGGGAAGGAACGGGGTGGAACGGGTCATTGGGGAGAAAAAGGGACATCTGTAATATTTTAAACAATAATAAAACTTAAAAAAAAAAGAAATAGAATAAAAAAACCATCAGATTTGCCCAGCCGGGTGTGGCTCAGTGGTTGAGCGTCGACCTAAGATCTAGGCAGTCGGGGTTTGATTCCTGGTCAGGGCACATGCCCGGGTTGTGGGTTCAATCAATGACTCTCTCATCATTGATGTTTCTATCTCTCTCTCTCCCTGTCCATTCCTCTCTCTAAATCAATAAAGATATATTTAATAAAAAAAAAAAATCATCAGATTTGTATGGAACCACAAAAGACCCCAAATAGCCAAAGCAATCCTGAGAAAGAGAATGAAGCTGGAGTCACGATACTGCTTGTCTTCAAATTATACTACAGAGCTACAATAATCAAAACAGAATGGTATTGGCAGAAAAACAGATGCACTGATGAATGAAACAAAATACAGAGCCCAGGAATAAAACCACATGTATATGTGCAAATAATTTTCAACAAAGAACCAAAAACATACAATGGAGAGAAGAAAGCCTCTTAAATGGTGCTGGGGAAATTAGAAAGCCACATGCAAAAGAATGAAGCTAGATAACAGTTTGTGCCCATGTACAAAAATTAATTCAAAATGGATCAAAGATCTAAATATAAGATCTAAAACAATAAATTACATAGAAGAAAACATAGGTGCTGAACTTATGTACCTTTGTCATAGAGAACATTTTATGAATTTGACCCCAAAGGCAAGGGAAGTGAAGGCAAAAATAAATAAATGGGACTATATCAAACTAAAAAGCTTCTGCACAGCAAAAGAAACCAACAACAAAACAAAAAGGCAACCAGCTGAATGAGAGATATTTGCAAACAAGAGTCTGACGGGTTAATATCAAAATATTTAAAGAACTCATAAAACTCCACACCAAATAAACAAATAAACAAACCACCTCTCCCAAGAAGACATACAAATGGCCAACAGATATATGACAAGATGTTCAACTTCACTAGCTATTAGGGACATGCAAATCAAAACTACAATGAGATACAACCTTACACCGGTTAGAATGGCTATTATCAACAAGAAATATGATAAGTGTTGGAGAGGTTGTGCAGAAAAGGAACCCTCATTCACTGTTGGTGGGAATGTAAACTGGTACAGCCATTAAGGAAAACAAGTATGGCAGTTCCTCAAAAAATTAAGAATAAAGTTATCATGTGACACAGCAATCTCTCTAGGTATCTACCTGAAGAATTTGAAAACATTTATTTGCAAAGATATAAGCACCCTTATGTTCATTGCAGCATTATTCATGGTGGCCAAGACATGGAGACTACCAAAGTATTTTTTGATAGAGGATTGGATAAAGATGATGTGGTACATATATACCATGGAATACTACTTAGGCATAAGAAAGGATGAAATACTGCCATTTGCAACAACATGGATGGACCTTGAGGATATTATGCTAAGTGAAATAAATCAGAAAAAGCCAAGAACCATATGACTTCATTCATATGTGGGATATAAAACTGAAATTCATAGACACAGACAACTGTATGGTGGTTACCAGAGGGAAAGAAAGGGGTGGAAGGGTTAGTAAAGGGTAAAAGGGGCCAAATATATGGTGACAGAAGATAATTGACTTTGGGTGGTGGGAACACAATGCAATATACAGATCATATATGATAGAAATGTGTATGATCTTATTAACCAATGTCACCCCAATAAATTAATTTAAAAAAAGAAAAATGCAGATATAATAATTTTGATTAAATGTTGAGCCCAACCAGGAACTCTTGTCTAATTACAGTTGGGGAAATGTGAAGAACCTTAAATATGTCTAAATATCATGGTTGTAGAATGAATTAAAGAAGATATATAAGTATGGTTGGAATGGCCAATGAATTTTGTGGACTACTTCTATCTAATATTAAATTTTAAACTGTAAGATATTCAATAAATGTCTGCTATTATCCCAAACCATACACAGAGCCTTATATTGGTGGTAGTTTAGGAAAGGAAAGCTTATGGGGCAAAGTCCACATTGGGGTGCTAATGTGAAATGAGGGCTAAATCACCTGAGGATAGCCAGAACAGAGATAAATAATTCACCAAAGACACACAGAATGTGAGGTGGTCAGTAAAAGCATAAGCCCCCAGCAAACCCTCGGAGTTATTTTGGGCATGTCTGGATTCTACAACAAATGGAATAAAGGCCCAGGTGTATTCTTTTTGAATTTTAAGGGAAAAGTTAATCTTTAAACCTTAAGGATCCCCACGCCTGACTTATGGGTTGTATTCTTCAGGCCTTTTGTTCCATCATTGCCTTTTCTAATGCAAATGGATGAACTGTACTAAACATTCTTTACAGACTCTTCCAGAAAACAGAGAAAGAGGGAACACTTCTCAATAAATTCTATGATGCCAGCATTATCCCAATACCAAACCCAAATAAAGACATTGGAAGAAAATAAAACTATAAATATCTCTCATGAACACAGACACAAAAATCTTCTATACAATTGTAACATATCAAAAATATCCAACAAAATATAAAAAGGGTAATAATTTGTGACTAAGTGGGGTTTAGTCCAGAAATGCATTTGAAAATCCATTATATTTTACCATAATAGAAAAAGACCCAATCATATAATTACCTCAATAGAGGCAGAAAAAATTTTTGACAAAATTCAATAGGTATTTATGGATGATAATTACTAGCAAACTAGAGCAAGAAGAGAACTTAATCTGTTAGAGCCTACACAGCTAACTTCATACTTACTGGTGAAAGATTTTGCTTTCCTACTAAAATTGGGAACAAGACAAGGATGTCTCTCCTCACCTCTATTCAACATTGTACTAGAGGTACTAGTCCATACTATAGGGCAATGAAAAATAAAAAAGAAAGAAAAGGAATACTGATTGGAAAATAAGAAGTAAAACTATCTTCTTTAGAGACTACCTGGTCATCTGTGTAAGATTCTAAGGGATTTACAAAAGACTGGAACTAGTAAGTAAAAATAAAAAGGTATCAGGATTCAAGGTCAAATTATAAAAATGAATTGTATTTCTATATATACTCATAACAATCATAAATTAAAAGTATCATTTGCAATATCAACAACAAATAAATACCTAAGGATAAATTTTTTTAGCAAAATATGTTCGACTATACACTGAAAACTAGAAAATATAGCTGAAATTAAAGAAGCTTTAAATTAATGGAAAGAGATATGCACATGGACAGAAAGAATCAATATTATTAGCATGTCAGTCCTTCCTAAATTGATGTCATTTGGTGTAATCTCAAAAATTCCTGCTGTCTTATTTTGTGGAAATTGATAAACTGATCCTAAAATATACACAAAAATGCAAAGGACCTAGAGCACCTAAACCACAATGAAGGACAATGATGAAGCACTTGAATGATTCTGAGACTTACTCAGAATCTACAGTAATCAAGGCAGTACAGTACTGGAGTAAAAATAGACTTGTAGATCAATAGAATACAATAGAAAATTCAGAAATATATCTAATTATATATGGATCAACAGAATTTGGACAAAAATGCCAAAGGAAATTCAATGGGGAAAGGCAATTGAAATTGCCTTTCAATGGAACAATTGAAAATCCATGAGGGAAAAAAATAAACCTTTACCCTTGCCTCACACCATAAAGAATAATTCATTTGAAATGTAACAAAGACCTAAAACTATAAAACTTGTAGAAGAGATTATTTAAGAAAATCTTTGTAACCTTCAGTTAAGCAAAGATTTAAGTAGGACAAAAAAGGCATGAACTATGTAAAAGAAAAACCATTGCATCCAAATTAGAAACTTGAGCTCTTCAACACACTTTTAATAAAATTAAAAGGCAAGGATTAAAGATGGTGGTGGAATGAATGGAAGCCACACTGACAATCCCCCGAGACCAGACTGGAATTACAACTAAAATATAAAAAAAAACATCCTGAATAATCAACTGAAACTGAAGATGAGCTGGAGAGCATCCTCATAACTGAGGAGGAAAAGTGGAGACCACATAGAGACTGGTAGGAAGTGTGGAGGAGTGAGAGGTCTGGCTGGGCTCCCACAGGCAGCACCTGAAGGTCCAGAGGGAGATCTCAGCTGTGGGGGTTTCCCACTGAGTACTCTGGGGCCTAAACCCCAGGCTGGGCTTCCCAGCCCAGAGAAGCAGAACTGAGAAAGGTGCCCATATAACATCTGGCTGTGAAAAGTGGCTATGTTTCTGTCTGCCAGGGAGAGATGGCTGGAAATGCAGGCACCCTCTTAAAGGGTCAACACAAAAAGTTTTGTATGCAGCCAATCACCGTGGGCTCCAGCAGAGGGAGGGCAGAGTGGACTGGAGCTCTGTCAGGAGAATCTAGGGTTGTGGCTCTGGAGATAGAGCTCAGAAGGCACCCCGCTGGATTCCTGTGCAGTCATTCCCCCATACAGCAGAGGCAGACATTTACCTGCCAAGCAGCTTTTGCCTGAAGGGGAAACAATTGCCCCACCCTACTGGAAAACCTCTCACCCTACCCTAGTGAAGTTTCTACAACTTAAGGCTCATTAAGAGAGTGATAACAATCAGCCACCCCACCTTGTGGAGTTTCTACAGCCTGAGGCTCATTAAGAGAATCAGATTAATCAGCCTGCAGCCAGAGACAGACCTCAGAGTGCTTTGAGTCTTGGCCTGATCTGCTTCTGGACCTGGGCCTTGGAAAAGCAGACTTTGGTGTGCATTTTGGTCCTGTCAAAACACACCCAGCCCTAACAGAGGGGACCTCAAGCCATGGGTTGTTGATAGCTCCAAACAGGGTACTCAAGGCCAGTCACAAATAGCACCTGATATTGGCCTGCACCAGAGACTTTCCAAAAGAATGAGAGTCCTAGCAGGCCTACCTAACACATAGAAACAAACACAAACTGGCAACCAAAATGGGGAGACAAAAAACAAGTCCCAAATGAAAGAACAAGAGAAGTCTCCAGAAAAAGAGCTAAATGAAATGGAGATAAGCAATCTATCAGATATAGAGGTCAGAATACTGATTGTAAGGATGCTCAACAGCATGAAGAAAGATATGGAAACTATGAAGGAAATGAAGAATGACATAGCAGAAATAAAGAATACATTGGAAGGAATAAACAACAAATTAGAGGAAGCTGAGGATCAGGTCAGTGAATTAGAGGACAGGGTAGAAAAAAAATCACTCAGAGATCCAAAAAGAAAAAACAATTAAAAAACAGGAGGACAGTCTAAGGGAGCTGTAGGACATCATAAAACACAACAATATTCACATCATAGGAGTGCCAGAGGAGGTCAATAGTAAGCAAGGGTTAGAGAACCTGTTTGATGAAATAATGGCAGAAAACTTCCCTAACCTGGTGAAGGAAAAATTCACATAAGTTCAGGAGGCACAGAGAGTCTCAAGCAAGAAGAATCCAAAAAGGCCCATACCCAGACACATCATAATTAAAATGCCAAAAATTCAAGACAAAGAGAGAATCTTAAAGGCACCAAGAGTCAAGGAAGCTGCTACCTATAAGGGAGCTCCCATAAGGTTGTCAACTGACTTCTCATCAGGACGCCTACAGGCCAGAAGGGAATGGCATGAGGCATGCAAGGTAATGCAAAACAAGGATCTGAAACCAAGACTACTGTATCCAGCAATGCTATCATTCAAACTAGGTGATGAAATAAAGCTTCCCAGACAAAAAAAGGCTAAAAGAATTTAACACCACCGAACTAGCATTGTAGGGAATGTTAAAGGGACTGCTGTAATAAGAAGAAATAGAGAGAGAAACATAGACATAAAGAATTAAAATGGAAATAAATAAGGATCTATCAATGATAACCTTAAGGACTTTAAGGGAGAGATAAACAGCAATACAGTCATAGTTGTGGACTTTAACACCCCACCAACTTCACTGGATAGTTCTTCCAGGCAAAAAGTCAACACAGAAGCAGTGACTCTAAATGACACACTCGATCAGATGGATTTAATTGATAATTACAGAACATTTCATCGCAAAGCTGCAGAATAGACATTCCTCTCAAGTGCACATGGGTCATTCTCAAAGACAGACCACACGTTAGGACACAAAACAAGTCTCTACAAGTTCAAGAAGACTGAAATCATAATAATCATCTCAGATACCAAGGGCATGAAATTAGAAATCAACTACAGTAAAAACACTCAAAAACATTCGGACACATGGAGGCTAAATAAATAGAATGTTATTAAATAATGAATGGGTTACCAATAAGATCAAGAAAGAAATAAAAAAATCCCTGGAAACAAATGAAAATAAACACACAGCAACCCCAAATCTATGGGACACAGTGAAACCAGTCCTAAGAAGTAAGTTCATAGCACTACAGGCCTACCTCAAAAAAGCAAGAAAAATGTTTAGTAAACTATCTAACCCTACAACTTAATGAATCAGAAAGCTCCCCTGTGAAGCCATCCAAGCCAGGGCTTTTGTTTGCTGGGAGTTTTTTTTATTACTGCTTCAATTTCATCAGTTGTTATTGGCCTATTCAGGTTTTCTGATTCTTCCTGATTCAGTTTTACATGATCTCACTTATATGTGGAATCTAATAAACAAAATAGACTGAGGAACAAAATAGATCCAGAGACAAAAGCATGGAACAGACTGATGAATCTCAGTGGGAAGGCGGGGTTAGGGGAGTGGGTGGGCAGAGGTTAATCAAAGAACTTATATGCATATATGCATAACCCATGAACACAGACAATAGTGTGGTGAAGGGGGCTTGGATGCAGGGTGGAGGGGATCACTGGAGGGGAAAAAGGGGGATATCTTTAATACTTCCAACAATAAAGATAAATTTAAAAGTAAATAAATCAGATATCTTAAAAAAATTAAAAGGCAAGCTGGTAGAAAACATTTCAAAACAGTTAACAAAACACTTACTCAGCCAGGCGTGGCTCAGCGGTTGAGCATTGACCTAGCATCCAGGCGATTGGGGTTCGATTCCTGGTCAGGGCACATGCCCAGGTTTCGGGCTTGACTCCCATTTGGGGGTGTGCTGGAGGCAGCTGATCAATGACTCATCACTGATATTTCTATCTCTCTCTCTCCCTTTCCTCTCTCTGAAATCAATAAAGATATATTTTTTAAAAAGACTTGATATATATAACAAATAACATATATCAAGAACTTTAATAATCTGAACTAATAATTTGACAGAATATGTTCAGGGGAGATCTTAGGGGCAGATCAATAGAATATTCATCATCTTTATGCTGATGTACCAAAATGAGGTTTATTGTCTTAATTTGTCTTTCCTTGGTT